GTTTAGCCTTCCATTGGAAGTTTCCACTGGAAACTTATGGCACAATTGTAATATCTGCCTTGTTTATACAGTAGATGCACAAGCACAGTATAAGTGGAGGTGAGCAGGCATTCCAACAGCAGGCAGCAAATGCAGTACCCCATGCATCAGATTTCCAGAGAGCAGTTGTTGTATCTTTTTCTCTAAGAGTTTACCACAGTTTAATCAATTTTGGCAAAAGGTTCAGTGATCTCGCTTCACCAAATCTGCAGTTCAATCCTACAAGTGCCTAGAAGTAAGGGCCACTGAGTTCAGCCTCAGACACTTTAGCCATAGTGATAGATCAGTCAAAGTAATCAAAATGACAAAAATGCATAAGAATGCAAGGTGGTGTTTTTTTTAAAGCAATGGCTAAGATGGTGTAAGGGACGCGGGTGGCGCTGTGGGTAAAAGCCTCAGCGCCTAGGGCTTGCTGATCGAAAGGTCGGCGGTTCGAATCCCCGCGGCGGGGTGCGTTCCCGTTGCTCGGTCCCAGCGCCTGCCAACCTAGCAGTTCGAAAGCACCCCCAGGTGCAAGTAGATAAATAGGGACCGCTTACTGGCGGGAAGGTAAACGGTGTTTCCGTGTGCTGCGCTGGCTCGCCAGATGCAGCTTTGTCACGCTGGCCACGTGACCCGGAAGTGTCTCTTAAGTGAGTTGGGCGCACAACCCCAGAGTCTGTCAAGACTGGCCCGTACGGGCAGGGGTACCTTTACCTTTAAGATGGTGTAACGGAAGTTATGAAATGAGCAAAGGAGTTGTGAACTTTCCATTTGGATTGGCATGTGAAGGAAGATGGAGAATTGTAGGAGATACAGGTGGCCTTGGGGAGACTAAACACACACTGAGATTCACACCCATCCAATATGGCACTTCCCTGCTGTCACTTGTGACTTATCTTCTGAAAATATGGTGAAAAAGAGACGTAAAAGCTGAATCAAAATATGATTTACTACTTATACGGTGGTATTTAGTAAGGACACTTCCAGTTTGTCAATTATTTTCGGGTGGGATTCAATCACATACCAGCAAATTCAGGTTGCACTAATATAGTAGTGTGCAGTAAATCCTCTTCCTCAAAAGACTGGACTTTTTGCAATAAGGAAAGTGATGGGAAAATGCACTGGATGTGGGATTACATCTGCTTGGACATCACTGCGAGCAAATCAGAATGAATGCTCATCAAATAGCCAATGTCACCTAATCTTTCCACAAACAAATCAAGCTGAATGCTCAACAAACGGGTCATCTGGAAGCACCCTGTACCAAGTCAGGTGAGAACCTTTGAAAATTGAACAGTAATAAATTGCATATTGTTGGTGAAGCAGAGGGGTGCAGGAGCAGGTCAAGGATTTTAGGGTAAGCAAGTGCTACTGCTAGTGCAAAATGGCTGCTTGTAAAACATGCTATAGATGATGTGGAATGCTATGAGTGATCGGTATGATGCCTTATATTTACTTTTATCTTATGCTTTTAAAGAACCTTTAGAGTTGCTTTTGCTGGACAACAGCGGGTCCTGCCATTGATGGCAACAGTTTACAGCCTAAGCCAGCAAATGTTTTCTTGAAAGTAAATCTCGATGAGGTCAATGGGATTTACTCTGAAGTAATTGTGCATAGGATAGCAGTGCAAGGATCCTTGTTGTAGGAAAAGCAAGAGTGTGCTGCAGTCTGGTTTTTACCATTTTTAGAAACCAGAACATATGAGAATTACTTTCTTACACAAAACTCCTACACAACATACTGCTTGGAACTCGGCTTTCTGCTGCAACAAGAGGATGAAAACTCCATTGTATATTTGTTACCGGTAATTTTTGTGTGCAAGTCTTGCTCCTTTATGTAAGAACTGTTATCTAAATAAATCTGAATGTATTGCCACTTTTTGAATATGGGAATTATTTCTGGGCGAAAAATACCAGGTCATAAAATGCAGTGAGATGAATACATTTGGTACCAGAATATTTGGTTTTTGAATCTCCAAAAATGGAAGACTTTTTCAGAATTGCTTGAAGATCATGTGTTTAATTTTATCTTTTGCATATACACAATGTTTAAATTAGCAATTTAAATGGGGGGGGGGAATCCACTGCTCTACTTATTCAGTGCAGCTTACATACAAATAACAGCATAGGAAGCTGTAGGTCAGACTATTTGGCCCAGTATTGGCAAGTATTAGCTTTGTAGGTACGATTGCAGGCAGAACTCTGGACCATCATCGGCTGTTTGGTCCTTTGGAGATAAGAGATTGAACTTGGAACCTACAGCATGCAAAACATAAATTATACCACTTAAAGTCCCTGCTGCCCTTAGAACTGCAACCTTAAATGCTCCACTTTGTTTATGCAGTGCAAAGAGGAGATCCCTGCTCTCAACGTTTTTATTTTTGTCATTATAATCAGGGTGACAGCACTGGCATAGCAGAGCCAGGATTTATGGGGGGAGGGAGGATCAATGTTTTGGGGGCAGAACTGAGCTATCTTTGATGTGTTTGGTCAGTTAGTTAAGCATTTTTATTTATTTACTTTATGGGGGGGCGCTGCCCACCTTGCCCACCCTTCACTACCCCAGGGGTGGCAGCTTCCTTGTGGCCTACTAAATGCTCATCATTGAAGACGTTTCTAATTTCTCTTAAGGCTAGGCTTACTGTCCATGCAGTCAGAGGTAGCGTGTAAAGTCACATTTCTTTGCACTCAACCTCCCTTGAGTGACAACGACATACTTCGTCCTTGTGATCGGGTCAGGGGGATCGATCCATCCATGCACCTCACTCAACAGAAGCACTGGCTAGCGATGCCTTAGTCAAATGTGTTTTTGCCCCCTTTACATTCCCCCGATGGCTTCCCTTGGTGAGCCACCCTCCCCCTCCCGCACCTTAGCTGTCTGCACTAGGAAGGGGTCCCTACTCTCTTCTTCCGAGCAGATGGTGCCTTGGCTGAGATCGGTCCCTCACTCCCTGCCCCGAGGGCTGCCAGGAGCCGGCTCCTCCTCTCTCTGGGCTAGCAGGTGTGTCTCCCGGCAACCCTCGGAGGGGCTTGCCACGGAGGCCATGCTCCCCCGCCACCTCCTCGGTCCCACTGGTCTCTTTCGCAAGAGCCAGTAGGTAAGGCACGAGCTGCCCTTTCAAGGGTCTCTTCCCTCCCCCTCCCCCCCTCCTTTCCACTTTCATGCTGCCGTTCCTGCTTCCTCCTTTCTTTCGGGTCAGAAGGAGGGTTTCTCCCGCTAGCTCTCCTAACGACAAGGTAGCATTGCCCTCCAACTCCTCCGAGGGGAGGAGAGGAGCAGAGGCAAGGCTTGTACCCCCAAAAGAGACGGCCCTCGTCTCCTCTTCCTGCCACCTTCAGGCTGCCTCCCCCTCCCCATCTTGCAACCCCAGCCTAGTGGTGGGCGCTCTCTCCCGGCTCCCTTTTGCGGATCCCAGCCCCGCCGCCTTCCTGCTTGCATCCGGGGTTGCCGGCGCTGCAGATGCGCTCAGGGGCAGAAGCAGCCTCGGTTTTCTGCCAGATCCGGCGAGGAGGGCGCAGCCCGGCCCTGCGGTTGGCAAGAGCCACGTATAAGTTTGAAAGTCATGCCGCCCGTCGCCATGGCTAATCTTTGATCACCCTAACGCACCGACAAAGGCGTGCTGGGCATTTAAAGGAACCCTGGCCCTCGCAAGTTTCAAGCCGTCTGTTCAGCGACAGCACAGAGAGGCGTTAACCCTGGATAGGATTCATAAGTAAATTGTTAAGCTGCCAACGGCGATTTCCGTCTTTGGTACGTATGTGTAAACATGTGCCTTTTCGTGTTGCGGAGACATGCGGGGGGCATGAGAGGTCGGTCCATAAGGGAATGTTTGGTTAGCTGAAAAGTACGGTTATCACCAAGTGGGACCAAATACAGCCACACAGCAAAGGAGGTGCCCTTTGGTTTTCTGTTGATGCAACATCCATAAGGACATAATTGGGTCTGGCCTGTTCTGTGGGTTCACAGAGCGCTCGCTGGTGCTTAGCCAAATCCTTTCTGTCTCATTTGGTTTGCACCTTCTTGCAGTAAAAATTGGCACCTGGAAGACATCGACAGTCTCTCCCCCCAACGAGTCATTTCTTCTTCGCCCTTTCTGCACTCTCCCCAAAGTCCCCGCAGGAGAGGAAGCTTAGTGTTTCCAGCAAAATGGTTTTTATCGAGGTATTCTCAAGATCTTTGCAGTTTAAACTTCCTCATTGCCTCGAGCAGAGGCCGAAGGAGGAGAAACATGAACTGTCATGGAAGGCGAAACGTACAACATGCTCCTGTGGGGTGACATGAAATGAAAACTGTTCTTTAAAAAAGCATTTAAAAAAAGCATTTTCTGCCTGTCTCAGGACTTCAACTAGGGTCAACCTCTCTCTTAACTTCGATACAGAGTTCTTCTTCGAATACGTGGTCGCCTATATATTTTTAAGCGACCTATTCGAATAAAAACTCTGCCTCTATATGTGCTGGAAATTAAACCTGCACCTGTCTCTTTCTCTCTCTCACACATACTTAATACATATATAAAGATATATAAATGCATATGTGTGTGTGTGATGCAGCTTTAATTTCCACCACATAAAACAAGCCAATCTTCAGTGAGCCCTTTAACCAATGATAAAACCTTAACATCTGCCATATTCAAAAATGGCTGTTTAAGCGAGGCCAACTATAATTTCACCTGTCACGGGAGTTTCCCCGACCTAAACCAACATGTCCGCCTTGGTTCGCTCTGAGGAAAAGAAAACTGCCCAAAGCAAAGATGGCCGCCGCGCCGAACAATTTCTGCCCTCATCCAAGAGGGCTGCCGACTCCCGCAGTCCTCCTCCTGGCTTAGGGAGAAGCGGCCTAGCGGCTGAGGAGAGGGAGGGGCGTGGCCGCTGCCAGAGAAGGGAGAGAGAGGGAGAGACGGAGGGGGGGGGGGGAGAGAAGAGGCGTGGCTTCTCTGAACCGGAAGTGCCGCGCTGCCTGTCTCCAGCTGGTTGTCATTTCGATCGGAGGCTCGGTCCTGTGGAGACGACGACGACGACGGTGGCGGCGGCGGCGGCTGAGGCGGCCGGGCCGGAGTGGCGAACCGGCGGATCGACAGAGTAGCCCAGCGCCTCGTGACTAAACAGGAGCCCCCCCCGGTCCTCCCGCCCGAGAAACAGTTGTGTTACATGAGGGGAAAAGAACGACGCCGGGAGGAGCCGAGGCGGAGGAGAAGCAGCCGCAGCCTCAGCAGCAGCCGCCGCAGCCCCGGAGCATCAGCAGCGGGAGGAAAGGCAAGACCCCTGGGAGCCGCCACCGCCACCGCCGCCTCCCTCGCCTCCTCCTCTTCCAACCTCCGAAGCCAGGCTTGATATCGCCCCTCCCTGCTCTTTCGCCACCCAGCGATCCTCGTGACCCTCCCTCCCTTGAGAAACCGGCTCCCATGGGGGAGAGAGGAGCACGGCCCCCCGCCAGCGCCATCCCCTCCCCGCCGGAGACTGCGCCCCTCCTGAGGTAAAAGTCCTTCTGCGGGGGTGGGGGTGAAATCCCTGCTCCGTTTCATTCTCTCCCCCCCCCTTTCCGAGGGAGCAAGGGCGGCATCAGCCCTATATTTCTCTCCTCACCTTCCCCCACCTTCGAAAGAGGTTCGTCTCTCTTCTCTCCAACCCTCCCCACCCCACCCCCCGCTTTCTAAATATTCTCAGTCCAAGGATCTGAGCCCGATCTCTCCCCCCCCCCCCGCTGTCGCACAATAAATTATTCTGCTGATGGCTTTAAAATGCCTAAACCCTGCTTGCCAGATATACTTATTTCAACCCCCCACCCCGCCCCCCCTCCAAACACTTGACTGCTGATTTTTCTGAGGTGAAAATTTTCCTCTGCAGGCAGCCAGGATTCATCTGAAGGACACACAAATATCGGATCATAATAGGAAGCGAGCTCGGAAAAGCAGCAACCAGGAACCCACCCAACCAGCGGCAGCAACAACAAGAATCCACCCTCCTCCTGCACAACTCAGTCCGTACACATACACACAACACGCAGTGAATGCAGATATCTAGAGATTAAAACAGGAACAAATCCTCGCACCCTCCCCTGCTTTATATGGAAAGGACTTGTCAGAAGGGCATCCGCATAGAGCATATTATACATATAGTCCTACAAGGCAAAGGCAGTAGCAGCACGGGTTGGGGGGGTGGGGAAAGCTCTCCTGTACAACTTGCTCCACCATTGAAATCTTGAGGTAAAAATTTCAGATTTTTAGCAGCAAAGACTGTTAGAATAGAACACAGATATATATTAGATTATATAGAATTTATTAAATTATTCCAGATTTAAATATATTTTTGGAGCTGTGAAGGGAGTGAGGAGCACCAGATGTCATGGTATTGTTTCCATTAACGTGTACATGGGCAGGTTGAAGCGGCTGTTAAGGCAAAAAAGTTTTTTAAAAATCTTTTTTAAAAAGAATTCCCAGGAGCTTTCTTTCATCCCCACTTCATTCTTGTGCATTTCCTTTTAGAAAAAAAGGAAACCTCTTATTTTGTTAACCAAAGATTTACTTTCTATTCCTTCTGGATATTTGAAGGAAGTGAACACAAGTCTATCCATGTCAATATTTTAAGTGATCTCATTAGTAAGATTCCAGGAATAATATCCAAATCAGATATCTCAAGTGGGTAGGTGGGAGAAGAAGGGGGAGGTGAAAGATCTGTAGTGATTTTCAATTATCTTGCTTTAGTAGAAGAACAAAAACATTTTAAAGTTTTGTTTTGTTTTTTCTTTCCAGGCGGAATTAAAATCCTAAATAAAATAAATGGGGGATTACGGGTTTGGCGTGTTAGTGCAAAACAACACCGGGAATAAGTCAGCTTTTCCAGTCAGATTTCATCCACATCTGCAGCCTCCGCACCACCATCAAAATGCAACCCCCAGCCCCGCTGCTTTTATAAATAACACAGCTGCCAATGGCAGTAGTGCTGGGTCAGCTTGGCTCTTTCCTGCTCCAGCTGCCCATAACATTCAGGATGAGATTCTGGGGTCTGAAAAATCTAAAACTCAGCAACAGGAAAAGCAAGACTCCCTAGAAAAACAGCAGCTTTCCCCTAGTCAAAGTCAGGAAGCAGGCATGCTGCCTGAATCAGAGAAATCTAAATCTGAAGAAAACCAGGGGGATAATTCTTCCGAGAACGGCAATGGGAAGGAGAAAATAAGAATAGAATCGCCAGTGTTAACAGGATTTGATTATCAAGAGGCTACAGGGCTGGGTACTTCAAGCCAGCCCTTGACATCTACAGCATCTTCTCTGACTGGTTTCAGTAACTGGTCAGCAGCTATAGCTCCTTCTTCTTCAACAATAATCAATGAAGATGCGAGTTTCTTCCATCAGGGAGGGGTTCCTCCTGCTTCAGCTAATAATGGTGCTCTGCTGTTTCAGAATTTTCCACATCATGTCAGTCCTGGCTTTGGGGGTAGTTTTTCCCCTCAGATTGGACCCCTCTCTCAGCACCACCCTCATCACCCCCATTTTCAGCATCATCACAATCAGCATCAACAACAGAGAAGGTCTCCTGCAAGCCCTCATCCACCTCCATTTACGCATAGAAATGCTGCTTTTAATCAACTGCCTCATCTTGCTAATAATCTTAACAAACCACCTTCTCCATGGAGCAGCTACCAAAGCCCATCACCTACACCGTCTTCTTCATGGAGTCCCGGTGGCGGTGGTGGATATGGTGGGTGGGGAGGGTCCCAAGGGCGAGACCACCGCAGGGGACTGAATGGAGGAATCACACCCCTGAACTCCATCTCACCCCTGAAGAAGAATTTCCCAAGTAATCATATCCAGTTGCAGAAGTATGCACGGCCCAGCTCCGCTTTTGCTCCAAAATCTTGGATGGAAGACAGTTTGAACAGAGCTGACAATATCTTTCCCTTTCAGGTGAGATTATTCTACTAATACTAAATAGAATATTCATAAATGTGTTAAATGGTTGCAGAAATAGCAAGACTCTGTTGTTTTTGCATGGTTTCTATTATTAGAGCTGAGGACTTAATTTTAAAAATACACCTCTTGTGTATAGTTTATCCTTTGACATTTCAGGCTTCATGATTGCTCATCTCTGAATCATGAATGTTCCGTATAGTGTTTGTCAGAGAAGTAACTATAGCCTAAGAGTGCATCTGTTATATAGGTAGTTTGCTGTCAAGTTAATGCACCTGATCAATAAAACAGTTGCAAGAGTGATTATTGAAATAATTCTTTTGTGGGGTGGATAAGTCCTAAAAAAAACTGAGCAGCTGAAATGGAACCCCCCCTTTTTTTTACCATATGGCAATAGCATTATGTTTTCAGTACACAAGTATTGGATCCTAAAACTGGACTATCGGAAAATATGCCTATGGCTTTGTGAAATTTCTCCGTTCAATAGGAATGCATCTGTTAAAAAAAATAATAGTCCACTGGGATTTACAGTTTTCTTACAAAATGTTGAGCTGATCTCCTCCAGCAAGGGCAATAGATTTTGGTAGATTATAAGTCATTACTAAAAATAGATATAGACTCGCTTCAGACATTGGCCTATGCTGTTCAAATGAGGCCATATGTTATCAGGAAAGAGGCTGTGTGCTTAAAATGTATTGGGAATTTGTCTCCAGTTTCTGAAGGTTAATTACTATTAAAAACAGCCAGCCATGTAATCAGTGAAAATCTGGACAATGGCACTTTTATTTTTTATTTTGGAATTTGTGATTAAGCTTGATGGGTTTAATTTTTTTTATAAAGAGGATTTTGAAACCTAAGGATTCATGGGTGGTGTGTGAAAAAGCAAAGATTGCAAAATTTTTGTTGCATTTCTAGGCATGGTATAAGCAAAAAACATGGTGTGACCTAGTTTTGTTGTAATTTGGGATAGGAAAACCAGTAGATCAGAAGAAACCTATACTTGACTTAAATACAGTCTTAAAGATCTAAATATATTTTATAATCTAGTTATACTGCACAGAGAAGTGGAAGTTCTTGTATTGCATGCAGTTCTCTGGTAAAAGTACTATCATTAATGAGACTTTTTAGTTCATGCTGTATAGCCAGAAGTCTTGAAATAATTTTTCAGACTGGAAGTGTATAAAAGGCTCGTGTAGAAGATCAAATTTAACCTTGGAAACCATTAGCACTAGCACTGTCACTGCAGCAAGCTCTGACTTCCTGTTTAATTCATTCTGTACCGTGACAACGTAGCTACACTGTGACAGAATAAGACCGTGTCCTTACTCCTGTAGTTAAGGCCTCAAATCTATGAATGTCAGAGATGGAAATTTTCTGTTGGTGTACTGGCACACCATTTTTGGGGCTATGGTCTGTATCTTGACAAATGCTTTTCTTATATCGTATTGTGGTCAAAAATAATTTGTGGCAGTAGGTTGTTGTCTGTTTACTTAAGCAGTAAACAGAAGGCCATGGCAAGACCAAGTCTGATGTTTTCTTGTGCCTAGCAAAAGAAAGGTATTTTAATGAATTGGTTTCCAGTTTGTCACTGGTTGAGTTCTGTGATGAGCAAGACAAGAGCAGGACTTCAAAAGAAGAACCTAGCACTCAAGCAAATCCTCTTATGAATTTTAAAATAATCTTGGACATTTACCTTTTCTAGTATAAAATCCATAATGCTTTTTTTCTTTGCACAAATAACTAAAAAATAAATGTGTTGGCCCTCATTGTTCAAGTAAGCATGCAAGGTATATGCAATTCAAAACAAAATGTGCAATATAAAGTGTGTTTGCAAAGCTTTACATAAATGAAAGGCCCTAAATGCATCAAATCAGGGCTGTCTCTGGACCTATAATTGCCAGAATCTTCTTGGGCCCATGTTTAGTATCACTACACACAAACTATCTTGGCAGCTATAACAAAATGGCTTAAATAGATGGCAGTGTTACTTGATCGTGACTAACCCATTCACTGGGTGACCTCTTGCTATTTTAACATATCCATACACAAGTAGCTTCCTAATATAAGTCGGCTCTTCTATAAAGAGGGGTTTTGCAATGTTTATATAAATATAATAAGTGCAGAATCTCTTTTTAGTCTCATCTGAATGCCTTTTGAAATACAAAATCCATGTCCTTGAGGGATTTTCTCTTATAGCGAAAGATCCTCTGTTAGAAGTACAGAGCTGGCTTTCTTTCTGAAGGATGTTGGCTTAAATGTTTATGTAGATATTTTACAGGAATATAGTTTAATTATATATATTCACCTATGCTGCAGTTCATTATGACATTATGTATAAATCTAGGGTACTGTAAACAGGAGGATGGTAACTGGCTGTTAACATGCACTCTGGATAATAGTCCAGTGGTCAGAGTGTTAGACTCGGGTCTCTTCATTATAAGCACATAGGCCTAAATTCTTCTGTCACAAATTAGAAATAAGGATCTGATGCTTTAAGGGCACTTGAGAACAAAACAAATTCTACCCACCTTGAACAGTATAGCAGTACATAAGGACCAAGTGCTTGACTGTTGATATTAATGTGATGCCAAAATGTATGTCCGGTGACATAATCCAGTCCTGCCCCTAGTAACAGCTGTTGGCACTGCTGCATCACTGTTTTCCTGGATGGGATGCTGCATTGCTGTATGAGAGTTCCCGTACTGTTCTGCTGGGGAGGAGATCGGAACACAACCAGTTCCACAATGCAGCATTTTTGAACTTTGGAGGGATTCCTCTAAGTGTGAAAGCTCATACAATGTATGCAACTAATTATGATTCTTGGGGATATCCCTGGTTGGATATCGAGGATATCCCTAGTGCCATCTTATTAGGGTAGGACGCCATTATGTCTGCAGCAGTGTAAAGCAACGTTTGGTCTGCTTCAGCTGAAGCAGACCTATAGACTCGGGTTGCAAATAAATGTGCCCAGACACTTTAAAGCAGATATGCAGGTTATTTCTCAGCTATAGGCAATACCAATTCTGCCCTAATGAATAGATACGCAGGCCGGGGGGGGGGCGGGTAGCAGCTGGACGTGGATGGGCTGGCTTTCCTGCTTGTCTATCTGCCCACATGGTGGTGGTTAAAGGTCTGTAAAATAGTGTGAATTGTCCTTCTGTGGTTTCTCAACCAAAAAATACAACATAGAGCAATATGAGCTGTGCTTGTGGCTCACTGTTATCTTAGTTCTGGTCTCTAAAGACACAAAGGGAGAAGAAAGCTGCACACAGAGCCAGTGTAACCTGCAGTGCAGTTTGAATCCAGAAATGCAGCACAGAGCAATAGAGTGAGTACATGTGGCTCTCTCCCTTTTGCCAGTCTTTTAAACTATAAAGGGTATGCATGCATTTGACATGCCAGTGCATAGTATTTCTGGCCTGGTAGAATGGGAGATTACTTGTGGCAATGGGAGATTACTTACGTTGTTAGGCCTGCTGCAAATGCTGGAGCTTGGTCTTGCAAAAACACAGTGGTGGATAATAGACAGAAAGGTAAGTGATTGCTCCGTATTTGTTTGTAAGCATGCTGTAAAAGCAAAAACATCATTATGGTTGTAGAAATAACGTCCTGGCTAGAATAATGTTGACTAGATTCTGTAATATGACCTGCTTGTAATTCTCAAAATACAATGCAGCTGTCAATGCAATATACTTTTACTGAGAAAATGTATGCAAAGCACTTTGAACATTTGAAAATGCTAGATAAACTATGTGAGAAAGCAGGATATTATTAATAATATAATACTACATGCCATCTCTTTGCGATATTTCCTTTTTTAAGAAAGGCACACAAGATCATACCATTTAGCAGAAAATGGAGGCTGAGTGATTCAACTAAAGATTAATTTAATTTTCACATCGATTTAAAAACTTTTTAAAATCCTGTGAGTGTAGTGTTAGCTTATTATTCATTGAAGAATAATAAGTTATTTTTAAATAGAACTTTATCTTGCATAATAAGGCAACTATTTGGACATCTGAGGAGAAAGTTGGCAATGATGCGTTATTTTTGTGGATGTTCCACTGAACTAAGTAGAGCTTATTTCTGAGTATAAGATTGCACTCCTGGTGTCTTATTGTCTTTTAAAGATCTCATTGTCTTACTTTCCATTGTGTCACTGTTTGAAGTCAGCAGTATAATAGACTTGATCATAGCAACTGCTTTTTGCTGATGCTCTGCCCTCATGTTTACAAAGATTTTCTTCTGTGTACTTCTTCATAAAAGTGGGACACCTTGCCTGTTTAGCAATAAAGAAAGTTAAGGTTGAGATAGGAAGATATATTATTGATGATAGAAAGAATGCAATTCTATATATTTAGCTTACATTAGAGCAGACTATTGAAATACCTTGAATCTATTAACTGAAAATACATCTGTTAAACATACTCACAGACTTCTTGCTGTTAAGAAGTTTCAAACAAAAGTTCAGATTCTGATCTTTTCCCTGGGTATCTCCACTGAAATCTGTAGTGCTGCTTTCACACAAGTGGTTTCTCAACAGCTAGCAAAGTGTTGATGGTTTTCTCCTCCTGTGGCTATTTATGATAAAATCTCATAATGTGAATCAAGAGTTGTGAAAACAGATTTAGAATTTTTATCTCATTTGGTCTTAATTTCCCTATCCTTGAATCACTTCCTGGCATCAGGGTTTTCAAGTGGCCTTTATAAGGAAGTTTTGGAATGATTCTCATATTCATGTAAATAAACCAGTTACTCTGATGGGCAGCAAGGAGCTAGGAGGACAACAGGGGACAGCATTTGTTTTATACACTTCCCAAACAGGCCCAAATTGGATTCAGTGCATTTCACAAACAAACACAAAAAACAACTGGCTATACATGTGCAAGATTTACCTAGAACCAGACTGGGAGAACATGAACAAGTCACTCCAACTCATAAAACTCAAAAGTTGTTCAGCAAGAGTCAGACGGTTTTTGCTTAAGCAATAAAGGCTG